TAAGTAGTAGATAATAACAACAATAAACAAACACATAGAGACAGAGATTGGATTGGTGGTTACCAGAGGGGAAGGGGGGAGGGAGGAGGGCGAAAGGGATAATTCGGCACATGTGTGTGGTGATGGGTTGTAATTAGTATTTGAGTGGTGAAGATGATGTAATCTATGCAGAAATAGAAGTATAATGATGTACACCTGAAATTTTTACAATGCTATAAACCAATGTTACTGCAATAAACAAAACAAAAAAAAAACAAAAAAAAGAAATAACAATTGAGGGTAAAAAAAAAAGAAAATAATTGATATGTAAATTGTATCTCAATAAACCTTTTCTAAGAAGGAGTCAGAAAAATATCAAGTAAGCATGGATCAAATACAGTGCTTTATTTTCAAACTTAGGACTTTGACCTCAGGTCTGAACATGATGATCTCTGGAGCATGTAAAGTAGAATCAGAGTCTTCAGTGGTCTATAATGGTCCTAGTAGTCCTTCAAGGTGTATCACAACATCTTTCTAATTTTTATAAACATAATCGCTGGCAGATGACAGGTAGTTAGTGCCTACTCTGTGCCCAGCCCTGTTCTGAGAACTTACATGTTGTAATTCTCTCAGGCCTCACGACAATCCTAGGACTGTTCCCATTGCACAAAGAGACACTGCTGTGAAATCTCCACACCAGCCTGGGCACAAGGCAAGGGAGGCACCTGGTCCAGGAATGGCCTGGATACCATGATCAATAGAAAACTCACTAACAACCAAGGTGTCCCCAAGACCAGAGCCTTTCCTAAAATTTCTGTCCTGAGTAACTACCTCTCTACCAGACTTCCAGACTTTGGCATGATCTTAAGGAAGTGGAAGTTCATCTCCAAAGAACATGCCTGAGGTTAATGTCTCAACAGCCCCGGAGTTGAGGGGCAGAACCAGTTTTACAGAATGATTAAAAAAAAAAATGTGGCATCTCTTACCCCAAAGAGATGTGGGGCTCATATCAGTAACTTACAATTAAAAAAATTAGGTCATCTCACTTTCAAAATAACTCTTTCGTAGGCCTTTGTGCCAATGCATGAGCCACTGAGAAAAAATGGCTCTCAATGAATGTTATTTCTTTTATTAAACACGCAAGGCCTCAAGTGACCAAAATAGTGTGAGTATATCTCAGGTCTTGTATGAGCCTGAGGACAGGCCAAATATAATTCCCTCTTACCGCATGCTTTGTCTGTCCCTGAAGACACTAGCTCATTCCAGGCAGAATCTCAATAATTTCACTTTGCACCATGGTTTGTCATACTAGGTGATCAATAAATGTCCCAGAAACACTGAAACTGAAAGCCATTTCACACCTTAGTTTCTGAAGTTAATTTGGGGACCTGAGTCAAAGTTCCTTTTGGGAAGAGAAGAAATCAGGCCAACAACACAAGCACTCTGACATTTTGCTTTTTCCTATTTCTCCGTGTAAATGCTGTCTTGAAAAAGAGTCTTTTTCTGGGCCACGTTATTGTTTTTTGAGTCACCTCAGACTGATCATCATCAGTTTTATGGGAAAACATGGAGGTAAAAAAACACAACTTCTTTAGTATGGGCACCGTGTACATCATGTGTGTGCGATTTTTTTTTACTGAGTAAGAAACACCTGAGGGGTCCAGAGTCCCAGCAGGTGACAAGGGAGGTGCATAACAACTGGGGCTCCAAGCAGAGTCCCCATTAAGTCCTTGTGAAAGAAACATCATCCTATTTCATTATTAAAGTCCTTCACTTTCCTTTGGAATGAAAATCGCCAGCAAATGACACCTGTGTGAAAGTACACAAGTGAGAACATAACCTTCTCTGTTTCTAGCATCTTGCCAAATCAGTTTTGTTCTTGGCAAGTGATGCTCCAGGGAAGGATGGAAAGAAGGATGTCACAAATAATCCAGACAGCAAATAATGCATTCACAGGTAATTAACTATTGACTCATCTCTCTGGCTCTCTCATTCATTTCTTTTTTTTTAACCTAAGCCAACTTTGTTTCTCTAGTTCCTATAACGTTCATATCATCCCTGCTTAAACTGATGTGGCTTTTCTCTCCCACGAGGCTCTCCTGTCCCTCTCTTGACACTAAGAGAAACACGTTCCTTACCTTGCCAAGGGCCATCTGCTCTCAGACCTCTGTACTTGTTGTTCCCTCTGCCTAGAGCACTGTTCCACAGATCTTCCCCTGGACATCACTGTCCACTCATCCAAGCTTAAAAGCCCATCCTCTTATAGCTTTGCCTGGACCTCTGTGCTGGACACTGCCCCTGGGGGCTGTGTTGTTCTTCACACAGTCACTGTTCGATATCATTCACTCAATTGTAGGCTTGTTTGTTGCCCCCCTGGTGAGAGGTGAGCTCCACAGAGCAAGGTCCTTCTCTAACATGTTCCTACAACTCAATATGTGACACAGAGCACAGGCCCCAGTCAGAGGAGAAGCTCATGGTTACTGTTGAACAATGGACAGGTGGTTGGATGGATGGCTGGATGATTGGCTGGATGAATGGATAGATGAATGGTTGGGTGAAACCTCCCATTTGTTCATGATTACCCTGATTTAAGCTTTGTGATAGGCTCTTTACGAAGAGTGTCTGTCATTCTTACAAAACCATGCATGGTATCATTTACGCCCATTTTAGATATGAGGAAAAGGAAGCTTGGAATGACCAGCACTTTGACTATCCCAAGGACACTTCATGATTGGGTTTTGCTTCCAAGATTCAAACCCACACCTGCATGAACCCAGATCTCATCACCTTTCCACCATTCAGCAGTCCCTCTCCTAAGGAATCAGTTATTCTACTTCTTCACATCACCCTTTGAATCAGTGGAAGAAAAGCCTTAAAAAGCTAAAAAAACTAAAAGAAAATTAAACCATAGATTTATAACAGATGAATTTATGAAATTGAGTTAACTCAGTGAGATATTCTTTGTAAAAAAAAAAATAATAATAACCTTCAGAGAAGGTGAGACATTGATATTTCCCAAACTTCACGCACCTCGTGAAAGTGCCTGTGGGTGAAGGAAGTCTGCCTCCCAGAGGAGGTAGGTGGTACTGCAGTGAACCCAGGTGTTCGGTAAACCAACAGGAACAGACTCACAGGATGTGAAGTTTTTGTACCTTGAAGAAGGAAAAGAAAAAGGAGAGGAGGAAGTGGAGAGAGAGGAAGAGGAGATAATGATGATCGCAATGATAATAAAAACCACAAGGATGACAACACAGGTTCACAATGATGTAATTTGCTTTATTATTTAGAGAGCACTTTTAGATTAATTTTACCTCAAGTCTTGTATTATTATTGCAGTTTCAAAATTTTAGGGGGGGCCCAAAAAACTCTGCGTGCTTGGTTTCTACAAACAGAGCACAGGCAGGCTAGGTTCTGGTTGATTCTCGCTGTCGTTTCCTGGTCCAATGCCAGGTTTATCAGGTGACACATTTCCTCATTTATGGGAGGGATTAAGGTGACATCCAGGAGAATAAAAGGAGGAGTTCTGGGTGCTCCCCTCCAGATTGAGTTCCTTCTTCAAGGCTACATCGGAGACCAGCCAATAATAGCTGCCTCCACCATGAAGCTGGTGACAGTCCTCATGCTGGTGGTCCTCCCCCTTTACTGCTATGCAGGTGAGCAATGACAGGGAGGGCAAGCATTGGGATAAAGGGATAAAGGTTGTTTTCAGGGCATCTGTGGAAGAATTCCAGTTCCCCAAACCCCAGTACAGGACAGCCCCACTATAATGTGTCAGGGTGTAATAGCCCAAAGGATTACCATTAATTCTAGAAAATTAAGGTAGTTTCCTCATGGGCTGTGCCTCTACCACGGAGCTGCATGTAGCATCTCATGCCATTCAGGGCAGATCACCATCATCACAGGTACCATGAAAACTAGGATGGGTTTGGGGATTGAATATTAGAACTAGATATTTCAGTGGGACAAAGGAAAGATATGCTTTGATGACCCCCTGACATTTGCACTAGCTGGGTTTCCTGAAAGAGGCACTCAAGGAGTTTCCTCAAATGTGGAAGGAAAAGGGAAACCTCCCAGGAGAAAAGACTCAGGCTACAGGTGTGACCCAGTGTCCTGAATCAAGTGGGGGTCCACTCTCCACACATTTTCAAAGTTGATTTGAGCCTACTGGGATGCCCCTTAGCTCCCAGTCTCTTCAAGATCAATGCTCACTGGGGAGAGCTCACATCTTCTGGAGGTCTCCTTCCAGCAGTGAAGATCCAGAGGGAGGAAAGTGCCCTGGAAGCCAGAATATGATCTTCAATAATAGATCACCTACGTCCTGTGTCTTGTTTAATTTACCAAGATCTTTTAATCTACCACCTCATTTTTCCTGAAGTACATGCAGATATGCTAAAGTTGATATGCTTAAGGTCAACTGAATAGAAAACTGCAGAGTCAAGAATTCCTGCTCTCCTGAATCCAATTCCAGAGCCCTTTTCCCTACTCAACTCAAGTGGCCACAACAGATCACAACCCTGAGCAAGGATTTTATTTGTGCACTATTTTTTGTTGCAGAAAATCATTAGTGTCTGGCCGGCCCCGTGGCTTGGTGGTTAAGTGTGCGCGCTCCGATGCTGGTGGCCCGGGTTCGGATCCCGGGCGCGCACCGAGGCACCACTTCTCCGTCCATCCTGAGGCCGAGTCCCACATACAGCAACTAGAAGGATGTGCAGCTATGACATACAACTAT